ATTATTTGACGTTTCATACTCTCAGTTCTAAGTACTCCAATTAAAATGAAATTAACTAAAAGGAAAAATTATGCTATCAATATTTTATGTACCTATTTACAGAAACCTAATCGATATTTCGCGTTTCATAATTTTGCGTGTAATCTGGTTTTCCCACTGATATTCTAAAATGCTATTCGAATGATAATTACGGCAGTTAAAAGAAACAAATCAACTAGAATTTATACTTACGTTTATTTAATGTGCCATATATTTATTTGAATAGGGAAATGGTAACGAGGAAACACGAATTGCTCGTTTCTATCCATAAATTCTATTCGCTTGATATCTCGCAACGCAAAACTCAGCTTTCTATAAAATCGTTATCAAAGAAATTTTCTCGAAACATTCCGACAAAGCAACGAACACGGTACACGAATGATTTGAAATAACGTTGCAAAAATGTATTAGAACGCGTGTTACGTAAACTCCATAACGAAGTACTCTTTAGAAAGTTTAACAGTCAGGATTCCACATCTTCGATCAATATGCATAAAAGTGCAAAATCACATGGACGTTCGCAGTCTATTCGCCAACAATAAATTCAATGTCCGTCTGAACCACTTGGAACGTTAAAGCGGTAAAGCAACCATCGTAAATTCTCCGTTGTTTTCTTAACGATGAATCAATAGGAAGAAATCGCGACGAGGGGCGATTAAATTTGTATCAGTAGTTGTTCCGTGAAACGAGGGCAGAATCGTTTACGCGAATGGATAAAAGGTGTCTGGAGGTACACGTCGAACCCTTACGACGCCCAACGCTAATTAAAAAGGGACACGGCGATCCTCGTGGTCGGCCACGTGGCTAACCGGAAACTCCCCGATCCGTGACAAGCAGCACGTTTCCCATCACTCGTATATCTCCTTCCGGTCGTTCGAATCGGAAAACGCGATTAAATCGTCCCTAAAATGTTCCCCTCGCGACCGATCAAGATTTCTTCTTAGATTAAATTGGTTGTTTCCTTTTATTTATGCATCTTTCAATCTACATTACTACGTAATATCGTTTCGTCAGGAATAGACGTACAGTGGCTACAAAAAATATTGAATACGTTCTATTCGGCCTCGCAGCCGAGAATCGCACGTTTTTTTTTACAAATATCTATATTTACAAAGCTATCTTATCCGTGCACTTTGTATCATTCACTCTCTCTTTCCCTCCTATTCGACTTACTCTATCGGCTAATTATCCTACTTGTTTCAACCTTCTTTCCTCGCTAAAACTTTCTTTAGTCCGCTTATCCCATATCTTTCTCTTCGCTTTTGCTCTTTTGTTTTGCACCCCCTCGAGCTATTCTACGATCTTTCTACCCTACCTTTCGCCTGCTACGTCTTCCAACCCTGACATCTTTTACGTTTTCCTCTGCCCTGTGTCTCGCTAAATGCTCTAGGTTCCCGAATTTATCCCATGATTCGTCCCGATCTATCCTGATCTCAGGCTACACCTTGCTCTTTTCAATAGCTGTCCCAATTTTTCAAATTTCCACGTCTTTTGACTTTTTCCTCTCTTTTCTTAGATGTTGGGTTGGCAACTAAGTGATTGCGGATTTTGTCAATACCATCTAATGACAAAATCCGTAATCATTTAGTTGCCAGTCCAATATTTTCCCAGTCTTATTGCTCGGGGCTATAAAAAGTATTTGCACGCCATTGAATTTGATACAATATCTAAATAGCAGTTAATTTGGTCCAAATATATCAAATTCCATATCAGTTATTATCATTTTGAGATAAAAAGACGCTTCAATGGAAAATAAGGTACGTGCAAGTAGCTTTTAGAGCCACTGTACGTGCTGCTTGGTATAATTTTCTTTATTGTGCCTTTGAAACGATGAATTCGATTAAGCGAAAATTACGAGCACTGCAACACGAACAACATACGTTGAAAATCGAAGTGAAAAGCTTTCCACTATATTCTTTAATATCTGAACACACGAATACTATCGTTTGGTTTATCATTTATCTTTCTTACGAACGATGAATTTCCTACTTCGAACAGTTGCATATTTTATACAAATTTCATAAAATAGTCGAGCAACGAAACGTCCAGATAATTGTTCCATTCGCAATTTATCTTCTTCGATAAATTATGTATAAATAATTGTCGATATATCACGGAGGGCTATAACAGCGGTGTATGCTTAATGCATTATTGTATTAGCGATTTCTTGAGAATGTGTTCGTACATCTTCATGAATATGATTCGAGTATTCTATTAGACAAATAACAAATGTGTTCAGGGTCGGTTCTAAAGTCCATTAAAGTCTGCTCGTGACGAATATTATAGACACATTTATGTATCTTATTTCCTACTACATTAACATGATAATTCAAGAAATAATCGTGAAACGTCTAATGAAAAAAATCTTTTGTTTAATATCTGTTATTTTTCATTCGTATACGTCCTATATAATTATTATTTATTTATATTCTTATAGATCCTTTTCAAATCTTCGATAAGTTTTTACATTTCATTATTTTCACATTTAATATAAAAACGTTTATCTCGATACGAAACTTTGAAATGTTTGTTTCTTAAACTTTTATTCAGAGAGTTTCTTTCTCGATAAAAGAAATCCAAGTCATCGTGTTTTTTAAAAACGACATCGTATCATCGGACTCGTACTATTCGTCATTTGAAAAGCTATTTACCATCGAAACGATGAATTTTTTAAGATTAACGTCGTACCAAGTGTGCGCTGAATTAACTGTCCAAGTTTATTTTGTCCTTCCTGAAAGGTTTAAAAAATATTTCCAGAGATAACCGTTTCAATTCACGAGGGAACGGTATATCTATGCTTTGCATGACACGTCACGATGGGATATCCATATAATTTCCATTTTAAAATATACGTCGATTATTTGTCGATATGTGCCTCGTGTTTCATTGCAACTACTTGGCACACATATTTCACCACAGCGTCGTTTCAATTAACATCGACAGGGTTAGGTTAATGTTCCATCATTAATAAAATTCAATTACAACTTAATATCGAACAAATATGTAAGAATTGCATAATTTTCTATGCCTAACGATCCTGTTTCATTCTACTTTCGAACAAACCGTAACTTCTATCGTGATCAATTCGCAATAGCGAAGTATACGATGACCATGCGTGATTCACAGGCATATGACACTCAGGAAGCGTCGGCGATAGGCCCGTGCATAGGTGCACGCGTAAACAGTATGTATATTAGAGCGTAAAAGAGGGACGAGGACGTATGTATCATCGTGGTTGGCCGAGGATGCGTTCTATCACACGTGCATATACATATAGTGCGCATTAACATGCACGCGTCGCGTCGATCAAAAAGGCGCGGTCTATAGGACGAGCCACGACACCGGCTTTTTCGGTATCGTTACACCCAGTGAACGTGCATGCCACGTATTCGACGTGATAAGCGTAATTTCGTTTCGTCGACGACAGCTACGTTACCTGTTCGACGGAAATCCAATGGACGATGGTCGATTAAAGAAAAGTAATATTAGTTCGGTGTATGTGAAAAATACATTCGGTTTTCGAAAATTTGCGATTAGTTCGTGGTCTTCTTTGACAATTTAAATAGTTTGTTATATTTTTTGGTGTTCTTCGAGGCTCGATTAATTTGTAATAAAGCGTTGAAACACGAAACATATTGTTTGAAAAATATATTGAGACAAAGAATATATTGAAAATATCGGATCGAAATTAGAACTCTGTTCGCGTTACATATCGCTATCGTTTCGAGTCGTTGATCCGGTTCGCCTCGAATAAATCAACAGGGAAAATGGTAAAAAATTTAGGAAAATCGATTCGACGTGAACAATTTCACGAAAGGTGTCGTTTCGACGTGAAAAACGTAGCGTTGACGGGACGAATTTGTGTTATATCGATATCGTTTCGAGTCGTTGATCCGGTTCGCCTCGAATAAATCAACAGGGAAAATGGTAAAAAATTTAGGAAAATCGATTCGACGTGAACAATTTCACGAAAGGTGTCGTTTCGACGTGAAAAACGTGACGAGACGAATTGTATGAAAAAAAAAGAATGAAAATTTATAGTATCGGGGGCAAAGGTATCATCGCGATATGAATTTGGTGAAAGTAACGAGGGGCAGAAAAGTTGAAAAAAGTTGAGGAGTTTCGTTCCAATGGGAATTTCACGAGGTAACAAGTGACGAGACAGTGGTGAGCTTGACAAAGTTGCGAACTCTAGTTGCCATGTCTCCGACATGTTGCAACGTATATTTGCAGTTTTCGACGATCGTAACGATGGTCAGCTGAATAATGGAAGCGAGCGAACATATTAGAAGCGGCACGAGTCGCGTGAATAATTGAAAAACAAACGTCAAAGTTTCTTCAATTACAAAACTAGTTGCGCTTGCAGACGCGCCAACGCGAGAGGAACTTTCTCTGAAATATGTTTTTTTATGTCGTTGACGGCAACTGTTTCATCGATTGGCAACGATACTGCTGGAAAAATTCAATATTTTATTCGAAGACTACGCAGCAAGAATCATAGACAGACTTTATGAAGAGATTACGATCACATTCTCTACTTTTTATTTTACAGAGTAACAGTTTATCAAAATTGTCGCTCTATTTCATTTTAAACCTAAACGCTTGTATTTCCAGCTGCTTTGTAATTTAAAAAAATATTTCCTCTCCTTCCAGTAGATATTAAAGTATTGTTTGTCTTAACGATTATACTTTTGTCCTCAAACGATCCCATTTTTAACAATTAAAATATTTAAGTCGTAAATGAGTCGACTTTTTCATTTTATAACGTCCAGTTAGTGAAGTTATAGTTAAGACCGATTATAGTCAAAAATAAAAAGGCTCTTTTGATGCTACACTGTATCGAATATCAACAGTGTATCGAAACATAAAATTACTTCACGGTAAATCTGATTCACCATATTTTCCCCTATGGTCGTTGTACACTTTAAGAGCTTAAGTAATAATTTAATTACGAGACTCACCGGTATGAATGTAAGTGTGCTTCTTCATGTCTGATTTCTGATGAAACCTCTTGCCGCAATATTGACAGGGATACGGTCTGGTGTCAGAGTGTATTAAAAGATGAGTGCTGAGAGTGCTCGAACGTTTGAAGGCTTTCCCACATTGTTTACACTGTAACAGAATAAAAGGGTATCTTAGAAAGTCGAACCAAGTCTAATAACTATTGACTAGGTATCATATTCTTCGTCATATTCTTCATGCGTTTGTTTCAACTTTCTTATCATAAAAATACACTTTGCATAGTATCATATTCGTTGAATATTTTAAAACGTTTTACTGTAAAACACGTCTCAAATTGATGTAAAATTTACCCTGATCTCTGTGCTTTTAGACTCGCGATGCCTTAAACTGAACTTTCATAACATTTCTAGTATTGGGTTGGCAACTAAGCGATTGCGGATTTTGTCAATACCACCCAATGATAAAATCCGCAGTCACTTAGTTGCCATCCTAATAAATCAATTCGCGAGAAGTTCATTTTCTCAGTGAAATTATTTCACCACTTTTTCTTTCTACCTCGCAAATTATCGTTCAACCAAGTGAAAAATCAACGAAATAATATTCGCTGGTGATTGATATAAGATTCGCGAAAACTGAAACGTAGTCTAAAGGAATTACAGTAGAAACAAAGGAGGAAGGAAAATGCGTAATTGATTACTGTTGAACGACGAAGATAAACGAACGATTCGACCTGGAGAAATCGAAATCGGTATAGATGATGAAAAATGTGGAAGGAAGAAGGCGGACGACGTCGAGCCGGCAGGCGCACCTGTGTTCACGGAGCCTCGGTTTTTCTCCTCGGGCTTATTGTCACATGGGCGCCAGTCCTGACAATGCTGTCGACCTAGGCGTGTCTCTTTTCACGATACACGCGTAGGTACATGCGTGGAATCGCGTACGAAACCGCTACAGCGGGATATTATTACGAGCGTGCACCGGTACCGGTAGAGAGCTACGACTACGCATGATTCACATCCCTCACCGATCAATAATAAGGAACGATATTACGATATTAACTTGTCGCGATGTTCCAGCTCGTTCAATTCTTTTCACGTGCCCTTACGTCGTTTGGGTATTTAAGAAGTTGCGGAAACACTTGTCCACTTGTGATACGTAATTTTCTTTCAACCCTTCAATTTCAGATTATAATTTCGATCGCGACACACGATGGCAAATTTTCTTCGTTTTCTTTTCTCCTATCGGTATACTTGATATCGGTATACGTATATCGACAGAAATGGAGTTACTCGAAATAATTGATCTTCTACGATATCCATTTTACATAATTTCACATGCATGCCAATTTCGCTGCTCGTTTTATGAAACTGAATGCTCTCGCAGAATTTCGAATGCTTTCTTGCGATCAAGTAGCAGCAGAATGCAGCTTACGATGCGCCGCTTGCTGCATTTGGACGACACCGAAGAAGTTCACCGAAACTCGTTCGCGTGCCCCTCTGGGAGACCGTAGAACGTGTAATGGCTTCCGAAGAGCTTATAAATCGTCGGTTTCGAGGTTTCCCCGAACAAGTATCGACCGTGGCAAAAAAACGTCCCGTGTCTTCTTTGATCTCATTTTCTTTCTGGAACGCTTAATGCGCGATCAAAACGACCTCGAGCATGACGTTCAACGACGTCACGAGAACTCATTCTTCTTCTGTTTAAAATACAGCAGGTTTTTCGTTAGTCTCGATGACAAAAGAATTACGAGAATTTGTTTCTCTCTTTCTTTACGGTTTGCCAAATGCTTTACATACGCGATTTACTAAAAAAAAAAAAAGCTGGATGAAACGATTAAAAACATTATTTTGTTTATTTATTATCGTATCTTTCTACTTTCTACGTATTGCGTTAGTATTTAATCGTTATCATTGCATCTATTACAGTATCTGTTAAAGCTTCTATCTATTAAAATTGCTTGTAGCTTTCAAATAAATTTTTTCAAAGATTAAAACACATGCAAAGTGTCCATTAATCATCTTGAATAAGAAGATGGATCAGCGATGATATTTTCCCCCCTAGTATAGCAGCTTCGAATAGTCGTGTGTATTTTTTCTTTCGCAACGACTTGTATTTTAAAAAAATATTCTTTGTTATTTTAATCTTCATTCTCTATGGAAATAAATATCTTAGGCATCGAAATCAAATTTCAAGTTAGCATTTAGCAATTTTTCTTGAGGATATTCGATAGAATATCGTTAAAAAGCAAGATTGTTATCTCGCTTGTCCCACCGTATCTTCATATACAGAATTTTTACGTTTACGTTCGCCTCTTCTATCATTCAGCTTTAAATAACATTAAATTAAATAAAATACCTGATAAGATCCAGTGTTATCGGGCGTATAAAATTTAACGTCGTACAATTTTTGTGCCTTCGTACCGAATTAAGCAGTTAAGACATAACTTTTAATGCCCGAAAAATAAAGTACGAAACTCTTGTAATAAGTATCATGGTCTGGGCTGTTGCTGTACAATTTCCAACGATATCTTCGAACAATATACGGAATCTGCGTTCTCGTACATAACGGTATAACACGTCGAATGACTGCAGTCGAAATATCGCGGGATGTTTGTAAGCGAGGTATTAAATTCAGGTCAAAATGTGCCGCTTACAAAGATTGAGAAAAATGGTTAACCGCTGGTTCCGTTCATTCGTTTTTATTCATCGCCGACTGATTGCGTTGTATACTTACGTATACGTGTAACATTATTTCTTAACATTGTCGAAACGTTGTAGTACAGTAGAAATGGATACGGTACACGATAGTGGTACAGCGGAAAATGATCGTTTGCGCGAAACATCTTGCAACAAGATCGAAGAGAAACTAGAAAATTCTTAGGGGATAGGAAATCAACGACAATTTTCTGCACCATTACCTCGCACGAACATAAAATCCTCGCCGATTAACGGCTTCTCTAATAGCCCGAGTGAATTACAAACAGGAGATCCCAATTCCTACGAACTGGATTGCACACGAAATGTCAAAGTTTCATGAAAGACAGAAAGTGTCTGATGAATTTTAAGCAATGAACAGCAGTTTGAAAGATTCTAGTTGTTACGGATCAGGATTCGAAGTCAGAGAATCCTATGATTCACAGCTGGAGCTACGACTGGAACTTTGAAAGCTTGGCAAGCTTATTGTAAAAACACTGTCCCCTTCGTCGGTGAGTCGATGAGCCGGTGAATTCTGGCTGCTCGTATCATCCCTTCGATTTTCGTATTTGCATACGTTCGAGGTGAAATCCATGGGAGTCACGCAATGGTAGGCTGAACGGTGGCGCAAGTGCCCTAAAGTGCACCGTGACATGACGTGGCGAAGAAGCGGGTCAAGCGTTTGACGAATGTCGGAACTCGACAAAAGGCGGCGGTGAAATTACGGCTGATTGAATGGAAGTAGAAACTCGCTTGGCCGCAGTTTTACGCGCGACACGTAACAGCCACCGGACATATTAGGATATCTGGGGCACACGCGCGTCATACGATCCTGATTCTCAGCGAAAAAAGGCCCGCCCTGACAGCGCCGCGTCGCGAAACCGAGCTCGCCGTCAAAATTTTTCCCAAACCGCATCGTTTTCTTTTCGTCGGAAATTCGACAGGGTTCCACGACACGGAAACCGCACGCTCCACACTTGCATTCATTCTCCTTTCCACGACTCCAGTAAAACACGAAACGAGGTATTCAGGAGAATATGTACACATTTCCACCGTGGACTTTCACGCGAATTCGTATTTTTCAAAGTACTGTAGTATCGTGGACGAGAGGTCTGAGTGCTATCAGGCGAACTATAAACAATGGGTTGAGGAACAAGTGCGTGGTGCGGCTGAGACGAAAGACAAAGGGATGTTAAGGGACAAAGACGAATTAATAGTCGGTGTTAGTTGAGAAGCCAGAGATTGTGAGTTGAGAAGTCAGAGAGTGCGAATTGCGTTGTCGAGAGAGTGTGGTCCGCGTGAGAGAGAGCGTTGGATCCGTGGTGACGAGACTTGCCAATTAACCATCTAATTGTCTCAATTATAATACGTTATTGTGATTAGTTGACGTTAAACAACCATCGTTTTCTGTTTAACCAACGTCTGTTTAATCCATTTATTGTAAATAAATTAATTGTAGTAAAGATCCTACAGTACATTATTGGGAAGTGGAAGCTCGGTAGAAAATCCTTTTGCCTATCGAGTAGGATAGAAAGCAGCGTACTTTCGCTATTTTACGTAATTTTCCCTATTACGTTGCATTCTGTGAAATTTCCAAATTTCTCACAGATGCGTGAGAATTCGCGCTCCGGTTATTATATAAGGCGCTGCTCGAAATTGGAATATGGCCACTAAAAACGGGTTTATTGTGTAGCTATCGACGATGTAAATAAAACGAAATGTAAATTCGTCGAGCTCTGTTCCACTCACAATCAGTCGCACTACAAAAGCGAAAGCTAAACAGGGATTTGATATCTTTGTGGATATTTTGTGGTCCTGTGTAGTGTATTAAATATCGTTCGAGATGAAAGGAAATTGCTCGCGTATAATCTAATACCTTTGGTATTAATCTTCCAACTACTATTTTGAAAAAAATGTGATCTTATCGTTGTATGAAATTCCGATAATATTTATAACGAAGATAATAGGAGCATAATGGTAAAAATATTGCGTCTGAACGAATTGATAGATTCGATGAGAAAAATTGAGAATAGAAATTGTTAATAATATAGCGAATTACAGTTATAGAAGATATAAAATGAAAAGTTGTTGTTGCATAATCGTTACATAAAGTATAATATAGTAAGTATAATATACAGGGTGGTTGGTAACTGGTGGTACAAGCAGGAAGAGGGTGAAAAAGAAGTCGAAAATATAGAATAAAAATTTTTTTTTTAATTTTTCCATCGAGACAACGATCTACAGTGAGATCCGTTATAACGTACCGCACGCGTACCGAGCGAAAATTCAAAGTCGATTTTCTCGAAAACAAAGCCTCGAACGAAAGATTTTTATTCTATATTTTTTTATTCTATATTTTCGACTTCTTTTTTTATTCTATATTTTCGACTTCTTTTTTTGCCTAGAATCACCCCCTTTCCGCTTGTACCACCAATTACCAACCACCCTGTATACTAAAATAGCACAACATGCATATATAATTTCATTGATTTATCGATCGACTCAATGGAAAAGATAAATGAGACATGAAAACTGATTTATAATATTCTTGCGATAAATTTATGATCATTTCGATGGTAAAGGGAAGAGAAATTCGTAACTATACTTTTTCATTTCTTGTTCCTCGTCATTCTAAATGTTGCAAATACGATTATGCAACCGGAATGATGCTTCAAAGGTTGTGGCGCGATAAAACACATTTTCATTTCAGCTAGCACAAAAGCAACAGAATCTACCAGAAGAAAAATGACTCCTTACAGAGATGCGTGACAAGATTATTATACAAGCGAATATACAGGTAAGCAACGCAGGGAGTGACAATATTGATAGAGATATAAATTCAAGCGGAAAAGGACTGTCAACAATGTTGTCCTCGCAGTTGTATTTTAAAAACGTCGTTTCAAGTGAAAAATGGAAAAATTATCTATATGCAATAAAATATATCCGATTATTTCTTACGTATTTCAATTATACACTTTGCTGGACAAGCGTTCCTCGACTTGTAGAAAAATTGTTTCTTCCGTGTGAAAACGTTATAAAAGTATCTTGATGTTTAGAAACGTCGTTTCAAGTGAAAAATGGAAAAATTATCTATATGCAATAAAATATATCCGATTATTTCTTACGTATTTCAATTATACACTTTGCTGGATAAGCGTTCCTCGACTTGTAGAAAAATTGTTTCTTCCATGTGAAAACGTTATAAAAGTGTCTTGATGTTTAGAAACGTCGTTTGAAGTGAAAAATGGAAAAATTATCTATATGCAATAAAATATATCCGATTATTTCTTACGTATTTCAATTATACACTTTGCTGGACAAGCGTTCCTCGACTTGTAGAAAAATTGTTTCTTCCGTGTGAAAACGTTATAAAAGTATCTTGATGTTTAGAAACGTCGTTTCAAGTGAAAAATGGAAAAATTATCTATATGCAATAAAATATATCCGATTATTTCTTACGTATTTCAATTATACACTTTGCTGGACAAGCGTTCCTCGACTTGTAGAAAAATTGTTTCTTCCAAGTGAAAACGTTATAAAAGTATCTTGATATTTAAAAAAATCATCCATCTAACGTAACTCCTGGAAATTTTGTACATTCGCAAAATACGAATACTAAACACAATTGAACATTTAATATTAAAACACCTTGCAGAAAGAAAAGTGAAAAAAAGGAAGCAAAAGAGAAAGAATGGAACAACGTGAAAAGGAATGAAAAAACGGATAAATCTAGATAAAATCTTGGAAAAATTGACGCTATTCGAGTAGATGTCTGGTTGACCGTGATTTTGTTTACGAGCTGGAGAGTATCGAACCTCGGAGAAAGCCTATTTACGAAGCTCGTAAAAGAATACACAAAAAAGCGAATATTTGTTTTTGACGATCAACCGAGTGTTCAAGAAGAAAACACGGTGGTCGTGTAGAGATTTCCTAGAGCGATACTCGTCGTGTTCTCTGAAAAACATTTCACCACCTTACTGTTTGACGACGATTCGAGTTAACTCCATCAGGTGATATTGTCCTTTTTCCATTTTCTCTATTGATTTCTTTGGGACAAAGGTACCGTTCCGAATAATCTTTGAATCGTTCAATTAATTTTAATTTAACATCGTTTTAACTTGGAATTAATATTCCGATTGAACGTATAAGACATCTGGATCGAAGAAGCAACTAGAATCTGATAATAATTTACAAAAAGATTTGGATCTGCTTCTTTCTTATTTCACTTTCTCATTGGTTAATTGCTTTAGATGAAAAATACCCGACTTGTTAATTTAGAACTAGATGTCTGTTAGGAAAACAAAATTTGCAAAACAACCAACTATATTTCTTCCTATATATGTATCTTTCCTCGAATTTCTCTTCTTCAAGATTTAAAAAAAGAAAGACGTTTTGACATAGAAAACTCACTTGGAATGTCCTTTCCGAAGAGGAGGGTGGTGTCAACGGTGAATGATGGATTTGTCGAGTGATTACAGGCGTCGAGGATGGACTCCTGGATGATAGTATCCTGGTTTCTTTCGCTTCCCTCTCGCAGACTGTTCCCGGTGACCAAATTTCACTCTTTCGGTTCATGGTGGACGAAACGTCGTTAGGTTTGGTACTTAAATTTAGCGGCGCCTCCTCCTCTGAAAATTATGTTGCAAAAATCTTTTATTTTGTATAATAACTCTAGCAGAGTCGATTCTTGGATAGAAATTTCTTTCAAATAATTTAAAGAAACTCTTGCTTCCAATAATATCATTATAATTATTCAATTATAATTCGATTAATCATTACAATTATATTATAATTCAATTAATCGTTACAACTATATTATAATTACAATATCATCGTAATTACAAATTTTCGGTAAGTTTCCGCCAAGTTTAAAATAGAAATATAAATCTCTATATACGCAAATTATAAAACATATAATCTGAAGCTTCTAAATCTAGAAAGTAATAGAACCAATCACTTTTTAGCCCAATACAGCGAAATAGTCAAAGAATATTATACTTCATTTTGTTCGAATCACAGACAAGTCGTAAGATATTCTTCAATTTGTTTGACGAGGATTCCAAGCTAACGCTTGTCACCCGCATATATCACGAAAGTACCCTAGCGTCGTAGGTACACAAACAACGAATACGAACCTAATTCGTTATCGTTCACCAGACTGCGCAGAAACGTTTACGTGGCATAATCAACGACAATTATCGGAACGTTATACATTACCGAAAGGGATTCGTGATAATTAGTTTAATAACAGGTTCTCTCTTTGTTATCGATGACGATAAACGTAAACGTCGGTGGTGATAACCGACGGTTTGCCAACCGCTCGCAGAACAGGATCGATATTACCTACTTACTGTGCTTACGACAAAATTGTCGGTCAGTTGTCCCCTTTTTTAAGCTCTTCGCGTATTTCTACGCCTTTTTCGCCGACTGGTCGCGTCGAGAAACCTCATGGGAATCTCAAGGAGGACCTCGATGGAATTTTAAGATAAAACGCAATAAATCTGGTTGACGTATTCGGAAAGTGATTTATTTCGTGACTTGTTTAAAGGAAACTTAAGCTTTTTTTAATCTTGCAGTCGATTTATAAATGGCGAGTGGTGAAATTGAATTAATAAGAATAAATTTGATAAAGCTTGCCGACGTACACCAAAAACGATTTATTTTAGAACAAGCGATTTAATGCTCGCAGTCGAATCTCTTCTTGTCACGTAAATAGCAAAATTATTGGTTCGAATGGAAATCCCGACGCGATTATTACTTGTTAAACTCAACACCGTGACGAGTAGGATTTCAAATGTAATTTCACAGTTCTAACTTTGGAAAATGAAAGTTAATCGCAGCAGTGGGCAAACACGTGCGTACCACCAAGTGTCGTTAAAAGTACGCGGGATAATTCTGGAAATTGAAACAACCTACCGTTGGCGTTACAACTGACTGACAAAAGTGATATTATCGAGTAGACAGAAAATATACAATTCCAAATTAAGGACAATGTTTGTCGCGTTCTATGAGCATCGTGGCAATTTTGTTGGTTTTCGTGAGCGTCCCGTGTGTATTTAAATAAATGTTCGATCGTTCGACAATTTATTCGTCCAAAAGATTCGTTCGACTTTAAACAGCAACGAAGATAAATCTGACGTGATTACTCGTAGAAAAAGATATTAATATTTCCACAGTGATAATAATATTAACGTTCTTTCAAACTATAATGTAGTATAATATTCTGAAACTATAACATGTTTCTCTCATCCCATTCATTCTCACGCTACCATAGAACCTCCATCGAAATTGATCGTTACAGTCACCTCGTGTAATTTTCTACGAACTGCCCTCTTAATTAAAATTCTCACCGAACTTCGCCTTCTCCGGGGTGCATCTTCGTGGCGAGCCAGCTCTGGACGTGTTCAGGGGTTCCGGGTGAATAGGTGAGCAATTTGCAACCGGTGTAGTTTGCTGGTTAGAAATCCTCGAGGGTGGCAACAGGGAATGGGGCAGCAAGAGACTCAACTGGTGTTGAGCAGCCCACCATGCAGCCCCGGTCGACCCATAACCACCATACATCAGACCACAACGCATCTCTGCAAGCCAGAAAATTTCTATCTAGCGATCCTCGGCTCAATCATCTTTCCACTAGCCGGGAATTAATTCGGAAAGTTTTCGAACAAAGAATCTGTAGGTTTATGCTAAACGTGTAACACGTATTTTTTAGAAAGGTATATTTTTTTTTTTAAATAGTCGAATTATTATGAAATTTTTATTTATTTTGTAAATATAGAACACAGAAGAATAAAATTGTCCGATTGAAAGCTAATGTCAATCCCATCTAGTCTTCGAATTTTGATTTCAATCTTTCTATTTCGACGAATCAAAGAGACTTTTAATATTCTTAAGTTTTCTAAAAATATTTAAAAACTATCTTTAATGCTTTAAGATAGAACTTAAGAATATATATAAGAACAATTGTTTCGTATCTTCCTCAAACTTGAACAAATTTCGGATGATAGGAAAATATCATGATTGGGTCTAAAATGATTTAAAAAAGCGTTAGAAAATTATTATCGCAGCGAACTTTCTGACTAAATTTATTCTCTTATGCCTGTGTCTGTTTTGAATCATATTTCCTTTTTCTTTTTCCTAGAAAACTCCGTCATTATTTCTGGATAAAGTAAAAAAGCACGTTTATTTTTAGATGGACAACATTGGATATTCGTTAGCGATTCAGATACGACTATTCGATATAATGAGGCGAGCTATAACCGATATAAATATTTCAACCGAGAATAGAAGATCAAATAGGAGAGCTTAAATGGGCTGACGTTTGCTTCTAAATTCGACTGACCGAACGTTCATACAGATCAAGCTTCTATTATTTACGAAGTAACGTAAAATGAGACAATTTTGATGATCTCTTTGCAGATATATATAAAATAAATTATACAATTACTAGCTGGAGTATTTAAATACTCACTAGATACGATACAATTTTACAAGTGTACACGTATCAACCAAGAACAGCAGATTAAATGGTTTAGTTCTAAATTTGGCTGACTGCATTGACACGAATACGATCCTATATTTGTGAAGTAGCATGGTCTGTTCATGCTCTGTTTCTCAGTCTGACGTATCAAGTAGTCACAACAGATTCTGGTCAGACATATGCTATAAAACCTTGTTACGGTTGTACTAAGATAACGATCAACGAATACATCGAACGATGACAGAATGTCATAACTATAAAAATAAGAATTTCTAACAAACACGATATAACGAGCATTTGCCTAATTGGTCGAAGATGACGCGCCACGAACGTACCAGTCAATGATCGATTCATCTATTAGGATTACAAACATCTTGAAGCTAAATATTAAAATCAAATCGCGTTCTACGACTCTCCTATTTTCAACGATAAATAAAATTCTCCAACATCCTCCTATCTTTAATACGTACAACGTAACACTATATTCATACTATTTCGATACTAATCTATGATACTATAATAAATCTAATATTAATAGTAGCCATATCTGAAAGGAATTTCAAACGCTGAAACAAGCAATGGAATAATCACACGATAGTACGATATTACAGCTCAGCAACATATTACGGTAATCGTACGTAATACTTGATAAACGAATAAACCACGCAGTATCGTGTGAATTTGCATAAATACCCGCAGAGTATCGACGATACTGGCGATTGTGTTACCTCGTGCCGTGGTTGTGGTGGTCAGCGGTAGACTCTGAAGTCTGGCGTCGGGATTGCAGGTAGAGACGAGGGTGAAAGCGCTGAAACGGTCCGGTGTCGGTTGGCCGAGGCTCGTGGAGGAAGCCGAAGAAGGATTGGAGGATGTCGCAGCGGTGTTCAAGCTACTTGCAGCCGCGCCAGGACTCCACGGCGAAGGCGGCAGCGTGACGCTGGGGCTGCTAGGCGGTGAAAGCGTAGCCGGGGGTGACAGAGCGCCCGCCGGAACTCCAATGGCGCTGTAGTGAAGTTCCGGTTTCATGTACCAAGTACGCGGCACCGCTTCTGACGAGCAAACCGTGAAAACATACATTTTTATACATCTTTTACACGCTCCTGCTGTCGCTAGACTGAGGACTTTTATGCGATCGTGGAAAATTTGAAGGCGCACGAATCGACAGAGTGTACGTAATACGGAAAAATATACGAAATGTTCAAAATATGGTACTCTTTGTGATACGTAGTAGATAAGACAATCGCCCACCTGGCTTCCAACTTCTAAATTCTAAGTATCGGAAAAATTTGAATAAACATTCACGATTTACTTATCGTTTAACGTTATCGTGGCATTACGAAAATTGTTTAACACAAATGGAGTATCGCACCCTACAGGCGATAGATACGTTGTTCCTAGAAACGATCGAGTAATAAATATTCGTCTGGTACCAAAGAGAGTCGCCATAAAATCGTTAGTCTGCTTGAGAGCTGCAACCAAATTCTGCCAATTGTTCGATAATTTTCTGTAGAATAAAAGTTTGAAAAATCTTGAAAAATAATCAATCGGTAGTATCGGTTTTAAATATTTTAACGAAAGCCGAAGACGAGAAGAACGTTTGATTGTTTCGAACGAAAGTGTCTAAAATCGCGCTATTAACGCGTTGTATCTACGAAATCGTATACTCGATCGAAAGAATATGGAAATGGTGTGCAATTGTTAGAAGGATTCTGTTTTTATCGAATTCAAACGGCAGGATATAGAGAAAATTGCGCGTGTCCTGTTTTAAAATGGATTTCTATTACATTTAGATGGGAGCCGAGTTAATGCGTTATTCTCGCGAGTCATAGGTAGCCACGGCTATCAGATTTATAGGGAAAATCACAAACATGCTCCTCCCCCGAACGAGAACTATGAATTATACATCGTAGAACATGCGTGCGCGTGTCCATCCAAGAGACAGTGTTCCTAATCTGATCGTACGCTGAAACGGACGTGATTGTCCGACGAACTTTATTCGCGGCCAACTCTGATAAGCTAGCAATCAATAAGATCTCATCTATCCATCATCTATCCTTTTAAAAGCTTAAAAATCGAAAACAAAGTAGAAACAAATTGCACCACGGTTAGATATCTTATAAATAGTTTTTACCAATATATACAGAGTGTACATTTTTATCGGCATTTACGATTTTCCAACTAACGCTGTTTAATCGTCTCTGTTAATGCCTGTAATTTTTCTCTATCCTTCGCAATATTAATCTGTTTATAGTAATAAACACGCAAAAAAGGAGAGGAGGACCCGAAGCACGTAGTAGAGGAGATGCGAGATTACAAGAGGAGCAATAAACACGGGGGAAGTGCTGAAGGAGACTGGAGAAGGACTGACAGAACCGAAAGTCATAATAGTGAAGAGAAGAATAGCAGAAGAGAGAAAGGAACGACAGGGAGGGAGCACAGCAAGGAAGCAAAAACCAAAGAAGGACGTCGTTGGAAGTCGTTCAAAGGCGAAAGGTACGGATTAAGATTAAATAAATAAATAAAAATAAATAGTAATATACCTGACCTTAGATATTCGTAACAACGTAAAAGAAAATTATCTAGCCTCGTAAGATGTTTCGTGTCTTTTAAAGCAATTGCCTTTCTATTTATTAGCGTTGTTGTTATTACCAGCTTACGTCTACCGGATATTTCTAACAATCAGCTAAATTCTCCTTCGACCGACTCGAAGAATTCTCCATTCACGTACTACTTAGACAAATTTCACGCGCAATTTAATTACGTGATTACAATAAGCCCTTTATGGCAAATCAATTTCGATTACTTTCAACGCTCGACTCGTAATCCAAGAAGAACGCAATAAGAGAATGAGTCAAACAACAGATAACAGAGTTAATTTCATAAACAAATGTATCGTTCAGAAAAATAAGGAAGTTGCATTAATATTAATAATAAGATTAACATTCTAAGGCAAAACGAAACCGAATAACTTTCTTGCACGGTAAGCTTCTCCGAAAGGCATAAGGAGACACGAGCACGCAACAACGGAAGAAAACGTGAATCGTTAAAGTCGAAGGTTTTCAGGTAATAGATAATGTTCGTACATATACACAGACGTAGTTAATAATCGCGCCTCGTTGTTTGAATAAATCTGTAATGCGATTTGCAAACACGACTGTATGAGTGGTTCCTGTTTTGCATAGATAACGAACGATAATGTCCGAGTTCGATGTCAATCACCGACCATTACCTACTTACAAGTCAGCTTTAAAATTGCTTGCATATTGTTATACGAAAAAAAGGGGGAAAAAAAATTATAGTTTCGACTTTTGGCTAAATAATTTGGCTAAACAGGTCGTTCGAGACTGGAATTCTCAACGAAACAAAAGGATGTACCTTCAGCGTTCTGATGGTCAGCGAAAGAGAAAAAACGTGTTGGTAGCGAGATTCGATTTTACAATTTTCTCAAATTTGATTTATTCTATACGATTTATCAATATGATTTGCACAATACGCATTGTGATTTATATTCCAGCTTTTTCACATTTAGAAATCAACGTTCACGAATGACAGACGTTTCGATCGACTCATCATCCGCCACCTAATTACGAAAAAGCTAGCCAAAAAGACGTTTCATTGGAAATCTTGAACGTGATCGTAGGTGAGAATCGATCCATCTGGTCACCGATTCTTCGCTTCGTTAAAATGTGTATAAACAAGTGTACACATCAACGAACGTCAGCGTTTCCGTCTCTTTCTTTTAACGAAGACGCTTCTGGGACCACGAAACTAAGAGAATCTTAGTCATTGATAGGAACAGTTGTCCGGTAAAAATCTGACACATGTGTACTCTGTTACTAAAGAGATTATGCAAACATTTGGTCTTTTTCTTTCAACAAAATGAAACCGAATTTATTCGACATTTAACCGACATTTTCGATCCAACACTTATAATTTCTAAATATTATAATTTCTTCTTTACGACCAAGTCTGTTTTTCCAATACACTGTGATATTACTTGTTGCAAGATTTTCCATCGAAATTCCATCGCTTCTATATACGAATTTTCTTTCGTTTTACAAGGAAATAATGGACGCACAATATCTTTCGTTTTATATTATTTTATCGAATCACGTATGATTCATTTTGTTCTATCAAGATAAAGATCGCAACGTTTGATAGACTAGGTTTCGTGTTTGTATAAAGATACACCGTTGTAACAGACGAGTCTGTAAAAGAAAGACAACCTAATATTACAAATTTTACAACGACGTCGATTTTCTTTTAGAATTTTATATTCTCTCCCACCAAATTATAACGCTATTTCTCGCAAAACTTTCCATCGAAATAATCTTATGGTTTGTAAATGCTATAAATACTTTTTGTAACGATATTATGCTAAATTTTAATATTTGTCATACTGAATACGAAAGACCCTGAAATTCGTGAAAAGCGAAGGTATCGAAGAGATAAGGAGTGAATGTGAATTTGAATTATGACATTTTGAAACAGGATTTGCGATTACTTTGATCTGTTTTAACGTCATTGGCAATACGTACAAATATTTGCTGCTGCCATTCGTGTGCGCTAATAACATTCTGGTTCCTGTGTATGTTCCGAGTGTATGCACACTTTTAATATATCTTTTTATGCGGCAGATATACAAGGTCGCGATAATACGAATATTTCGAACAACCTTGAAAATTTGAGTATCTGCTACAAGTTTCGCGATAAGCAACATTTTTCATTTTAAAATTGATATCTCGCTATAATTAATTTTTTAAATCGTTCGTTTAATTCTTTTTCCCTTTATTCATTCCATTAAAAATGTACATAATCTTCACGCGATACAACAACGGTATAGATTATTATAAATATTAAAAATATATATTATAAATAGAAGTAGCGAATAGTTTGCGATTGTATCGGTTTTAAGTTGAGATTCCTTTAGAATCTCCATCAAATAAGAGAATAGTTTTGAAATTTCGAAATAGCTATTCATAAATTTCAATTTGCAAGAAGCGATAATTGTAAACTTTTCTAGATTACAAAAACAGTTAAAAACTAAACCTGACAAACTAAATACGAAAGGTATTTTTTCATCGCCAAAAACTAATAACCTGAGAATCCGTATACTTTCTGCTAGATTAACAAAACTACAAGAAGTACAAGAAGAAGAAGAAGAAGAAGAAGAAGAAGTAATCTGATTAAACCGATACCGTCATCCGCTCTCGGCTTAACGAAATACCTAATCCTCCTTGGTAAATCGACATCATCGAAAAACCGATATCTTCTCTTTCGACCGGATAAAATACAAAAAGAAACAATCTGTATATGCACTTACATCGAAAAAGAATCGCATAATTTTATCGATATTTTATCGCTACAATATTTCTACGGGGAAATTTCCCAGCAGAATTACGAACATAAATTTAATATCACGAAAACGACTTCCACATCTCCAAGTGTCATATATCAAATCAGCTAACATCATCGAGATAATCGCCGAACTATATTTAATATCATAATTTTGCCATAAATTTCCATTGGAATACGTGAAAAATAACACAAGGTCGATAGTATATTCATGGTAAATTCAAGCGGAGGCGAGATTCGTTTTCTCAAGCACCGTATCACCTCCCTGTGAAACTTGTCTCTCTGTTACCAAGACGCTTCGCGCCAATCGATCGATTCCATTCGCGCGAATCACAGCGGAAGAAAGGAACAACGAGAGGAAAGCGAAGAGATGCGGAAGAAACTCACCGCACATTGCGTCCAATTGGTCGATCGATTAGTCCCCTAAGTCTTGCGACTGTTCATGGAGGCGAGCAGCGAATCGTAGTCTCTTTTTATTGGCACTAGAGATCAAGGAACGCACAAACGACGTACACAATCGGTATCAACCCCACAGACAGTCCCGACGCACGTACAGTTTTTCCATTCACTGGGCTGCTCGCTGGCGATCCTCCACGTGGTTCGCCAAGGTCGCGGTCTCGTACCCGGTTCGCGCGTCCAAGGCGGTTCAGTTCGATGCTTGGAATCGATTATTACAGATGCAAGACGAGTAACACTTCTCTAAGAAACGTATTTTCAACACTCTTTCAAGCCAGATGATTTTTCTATCACAAAGCAACGTTGTATGCGGTTGTACGCAGTTGATAACAGAATAATTTTCTTCGAATCGTGAGAGGCGATCGATGAAACGAGCAAGTAGACGGAATCGGATGATCCGTAGAGCAAAGAAGAGTTACACAGGTAGCCCGACAGCTGTCCGTTGGTTGGTCTTCCGGAAGATACTCTCGGAGCGTCCTGGCTAACAGCAGGACCCTGACTGGCCCCGGTCTGACCGACGAGGGTACACGCACGGTCTCGCGTGGAGCGCGCGTCGCAGTCTGCCCGTGGCTCGGCTGCTTACCTGCTCGGCTTTTCTCTCTTCTCACCTGCGCTTCTCCGCTACCTGGAGGCCACGCCTACCGAGCTCGCATGCGGCTAACTTTAACCCACGGGAAGTAGCGCGCTGGTGGGGTGCGCGTTGCTTCATCCCCTCTTTGGCAAGGATAGTCGGACAGCAGACAATCTTCCTTCCTCTTCCCGGCGAACGGATGCACGCGAGCGCGCTTCGGAAGCCGCTTCCACGGACGTTAACCGTTGCATCGAATTCTCCAATCTCGGCACGTTGGCGGTGTCGTATTGATTTCTCGCGTTAAAAATGGGTATATTTGAAATGGGAAATCGTTTTGGGCAAGTTTGCTTGGTCGTTGAAATACGTCTACGTTGTTTCTATTGGATTATTTTTACATCTCAATATCGATGCATATGTGTATGTGTTTGTAAAAATGACGAATATCTTGCTAATTCCGAACGAGAACGTTAAAAGGTTGGATAGTGGTCGCATGGAATCGTATACCTAACTTTGGTTGAAATTGGTTGAAAATGAGCGCTGCAAGTCGAAAGAACTTTTTTTCCATCGCCTATTGGTTTTAGATAGAAACACTCGGATATGGAGTAAAAATATTCATGGACTATTTATTATAATTTTAACCATTAACCTAGTACGTATCTCTTTAAATATCAAATACGTTCGCCAGGTACTTACATAACCTACACACTGGAACGTAACTTTGAAATTCATTGATTTTCCATCTTGCTTTTGCCAAAGAATTATCATACGCAGACTACAATTTTTTCTCGCGAAAATCAGTTGATTTCTACGTTTCTTGGCAACCACGGTGGCTAAATTTAATTTATCTTAAATCTCTATCCACGTACATTTAACTCTGTCTTTCCAAATACAAATCGCAATAACCGAACCGAAAAACGCAATATCCTCCTCAGTTTACGAAAAAAAAAACCGATCCTAACCTCAGCTGAAATATTCAAATTATATCATAATTATAATTTGAATATTTATAAATATAATTATGTAACCATACACAGATACTAAATGGATACTAAACAGCTGCTAAACGTAGAAGCGACAGACCGATGAATCGGGACACGTAGATCGGAACCTCGGAATTACGCGCGAAATTTCAAATCTCGATTAACCCTATGTACATGAACATGTACATGAACGAACATGTAACATGAAGAACATGAACGCACGAATATATAGAAAATGGCGTATAGTAAGAGCGGGATAGGAGAGGAAATTGTCTGTGTACGGATTAGTTGATCTTACGCATCTGTGAGAGAGCAGCGAGACCGGGACGATTCTGTGAGACCAATAGGCAGCCGAGACGGCGGAGCGAGAGCGATGCGCGCGCATACTAGCGCCGCGGCGTAGATTTGATTCGGCGCGGGTCGCGCGAAGAAGGAGAGCCACCAGTGCGTCTGCGCCGACCGAACACGTTCTATTGGGCCGCCTTCCTAGAACCGGGTCCACCTTCGATAATCGCGCGTGACGTTCTAGTCGAATTTGGATTAGGCAGCCACCAATCCGTGACCTTGACGTCTTCCATCGACACCGCAACGGTAAATGTTATCGAGAGAACGTATCCGAAAGTGGAATCGAACGCCTCGTTGTCGTCGTCGTCGTGGCACTACAATCGACTTCCAGTCGATGTAGGTCAGGACCACGCTATTGCTGCGATCTGCCGCGTTCTCAGAAACGAAAATTGTTCACTTCCGGAAGTCAGACCCTTTATTTTTCTTTTTTTTTTTTTTTTTTTTCTTAAATTAAGGGTTTCCAAGAAACACGTGACAAACACTTTGATTCGAGAACGTAATGGTAAAGATAATTTTTGATAGAAACATTCGATGCTTTTAAATATTACGAGATGTTAGGTATTATATTTAAAGTATTCTTATAGATATCGTGTCGAAGAATATTGAGACGCAAGGACGGTGCGATGAGATACTGTCCACTGCTACTGTTATATGTAAGTATTCACAAGTTCACCAACTTTTCAATGCATTTAAATGGTTTTTGAAATTGAACCGATAAAAATTAATTAATCGCAAGATTGAAATTAAATTATTCGATAATTTTCTAGATAACGTCTAACGGAAGAATGAATTGAAAACTGAAATCCTGTATATCGACTATTTTGTATTTAAATTACCTTCGACAGGTAATAAATAATTCCACGTAAGCAATAAATTGCCCACGAGACTAATGTAATTAATGTTATTAGTACTAATTATATATTTCGTGTGTAAATATCTTTGATACGGACACTCGATGATGTAGAAACGAAAGTATGGAACCGGTGAGAAAATGATGCGAAAGATAAAATGGAAGAACGGAATTTTCTATAAAACGGTATATTTTACTTGACGTTAATACTTTTATTAACTTTTTAAATAACAGCACGTTGCAAACTGTCATTTCGCGAATATACCAAAATACTCGTTTGCCGCAGGTAACTCTTTCTCCAAAAATGGCCAAGAATTGAAAAACTCACGCGGTCAGTTTAATTTCGTGTGAATTACACTTGACCACCAGTTCGAAATCATTAATTCCTACCTTGTCAGTCACGACGAATACTTGCTTCCAGGCAATTAAACTACTTTCTCGCTTGTCACAAAATATCGATCGCAATCTTCGGAAATGTATAATGAACATCTACTATTACGTATGTAAACTGTTTTTGTCCGTATAATAAATATCTTATTTCGAGCAGAGAATCAAGAAGCAAAGATAATATCCGACGATTAAAAATACTCTTCTACCCAAAGTCTGTAAATTACAAACAGTCTTCACAAATTACGGAGCTCCACTTACCGCGACATTTTTATTGAAATACAAAATTATATTCCAATAGATCGTAGGTAATCGATCGGTTGAATTCGAACTTGAACTCTAACTGTAACCTATATGGACGTAAGATCATAAATAACGAAGAGAATTAGCGAGCCGAACAAACTTTTATCGCGTCGTGAGCCACTATCTTGAAATACGAAAAGACGTTAAACAGGACGTTTCAACCTATCAACCAGGTCATCTCGAAAGCCCCGATAATCAGGTAGTCAAGCTAAATCAATTGATTTCCAATTTACTCCACGCCAATTGTATCTCTTACACGTGCATATACCCTAAGGAAGAAAAATTATTATAGCAATTTCATGGCAAAACGAGCGAAGAATTGGCTCGTCTTTCCCTACAATAATTTTAACGGCTAATCCAAGGGAGTGAAAACAAGGAGGAGCAGCCATAATTCGTCGACAGCGAAGGCCTTAAACATCCCCCATTTTCCATACCCTTACAATCTGATTCTTTCACAGTCCTGCACCAGGCCACGAATATTCCAAGATCCCGATGACCCATTAAAACGCAACTTTAGGGTAGCACACTTTCACGACAAAACGAGGCGATTCCTACGGCGTCGAAATAGAAGGAGACAAAAGGTAGACAAAAGAAAAATTTCCAACCGAGAGTACAATGCTGACAGATGGAAAAGAGAAGGAAAGAACCTGGCCACGGTGTATTATCGGAAACGGAGTGCTTTCGTGGCGAGGAGTGCGTGGCGAAGAATGTATTGAAAGCAGGTCCCGATGTCCTTAACCCACTCGTGGTCTCGCGTCCCGCGATAACGAGCTACCTGGCAACTTCGGATAAGTGAAACTTGCATAATTGGCTACCGTAGGAGGGACGAAGAAAGAACTCGACCAGCAGGTAACTGCACCTGCGATGTCTCCAAGGTGCGCGCGTGCGCCCGGCCGGCTTGCCGGAGGAACGTGTGCTTCTACAACGAGACCACCGCATCCGGACGAACGATCAAAGGAGACTCGAACGTTCAACGTTTCGAAGAACCCACCGAATCACGCTCATCGACGGAAGTACGATTGATCGTGCGTATTCCAATTGTTGCTTCTTAGTCCATTGTTTCATATACGCTCGTATATATATGTAGCTTACGCGAACGTATTGAAAATTACAGGAAATTTGTACGCCTTTATCGTATGTGTTGTATGGAATATTTGGAAATTTCATCAGCACCACGAGCAGGCACGGCTGTCGTCGTTATACTGAGAAACATTACGCAGTTTTATATTAGTTCGACTGTAAAAGTTATCGTATATAAGAAATATTGTAACAAGTAGGAGTCTACTTTGGATACTTTATACACTTTCGTGCGTTATCTATTGGTTTCTGCGTTTTTTAATTTTGCGTAAATGCAAACAGAAACGCACAAACGTTCGCAGTCTCGTCATAATTACGACGATGAGCGAAAATAAGTTTCAATTTGGTATACTACTGATCATTTTCCATCGTATCGGTTACGGTAGCTGTTATTGTCAAGTAGAATTCTATTTTCTAAAATTAGGCTGTCGCTCCTCCCTTAAGCTTTCTTTTGTCCGCCAGTTGTGCGTTAATACGATTGGAAGCCAATCAACGTAAACAAAAACACAGTGGGATCTCGTAACAGCGTCAATGAAATTTCAAAATATTTTGAATAACACACGCGATCTATTCGTGAAATAGATCACAAGTGACGTAAATTCGTAAGTGGCCATTAATTTCGTTATTCTCGGTCGTTCAGATATTACGAATCTAAAAAGACAAAGTAGCAAGCTGAATAAAAATTATGCGATAATAAATAAAAATTTGGCAAACGGTGTTAGTTTCTGATACATTGGAGTCATACGAAGCAAAGACGAAGGAAGAGAAAACAGGGTTTCTCGAAAGGAACGAGGTACATATTCCTGTCGCGCTGATTCTTCCAACCTGCAGCTTGACAGTTTTGGCACGTTGCGTGCTTACACGCGAAAACGTATGAATGGATGTCCCACGATCCGACCGCAAACCTTCCTGCCATTTGGAGAGGATGCGTGAAATCTTTCTCGTCGAACGACTCACTCCAGCCTGAGACCGAAAGGATGCATCTTTCAAAGGTATAATATATCTTTCGAGTATAATGTAGTTACTGGTATGATCTTCGGTTTTTATATGCCGTTGAAGTCGTATTTCTTCGAAATAAACTTCATCCGTAACG